CAGCAGGCGCAGGTTGGCGGCCAGGTCCGGCTCGAGGTTAGTCGCGCTGAGGAACTGCTTGATTATCCTCTTGCGCTCGTGCGGTGTAGTGTAGAGCGGCCGGAGCAGACGGACGTGGTCCAGCGTCTTGAAGCGGGTCAGCAGCACATACAGGGTGGCGCGCTTGATGCCGTTGGGTGGGACAGCGAGATCCACCAGCCAGCACTCGTCTTTGAAGCTGCGGCCTTGCACGAAGTAATCGGTGACCGCCTGGCGGTCGCCGAGCGGCACGTTCAGGCGCCGGATCTGCTTTGTGATGGTGCCGTACCCGGCGGCAGGCATCTCCACCTCGGCAATGCAAGACGCCCGGGGTGACAGGATGAAGGCACCACCCCTGCTGGCGTAGTCTCCAAGGCCCTGCAGCACGGTGCCGGGGATGTGGCCGCTTATAGGCCGCACAATGACGGCCACCGGAAGGTACTTGAGCCGGCGGTAGGGGCCACGGCCGTCATCGGCTGGCTCGCGGCCATCCTCAAGCAGGCCGCAGGCTTCCACCTCGTTGTTGTGGCTCGCTCCGGCATCGGCAGCTGTCGTATCAAGGAGGATGTATCGGGCGCCATGGTAGTACCACGTGTCGGCGGTGGTGTGGCCAAACTCGTGATCCTTGATCCGCATTGCAACTGCTTTCTCCACGTGTGTCAGGGCCGGTTCCGCAGCAGCACCACGCTTCTGGACAGGGACGTGGTCCGCATTCCACACCACAAGGCGCTGATTCTTGCGCTGTGCCTCCAGCATGATGAGCCGGGTATTGAGTGTGTGGCGTGGTTCGTTCCTCTGCAGCACGACGCGCGGCTCGAGGTGTGCCAGGTCGGCCAAGTCGACGATGGCACGGCTGTTAAGGTCGTCGACCATCTCGGCTATGCGCTGCTCGGTGGCTGGCTCACCGCCAAACATAGAGGCATACTCTGTCAGGCGACGACCAGAGGGGCTGCTGTCCTGGCGCTGCTGCTTCTCCAGCAAGAAGACCGTCTTAGCCAGGGATCGGTAAACCCGGAAGCCCTCAAGTATGCAGCTCTGCGTCTGTGGGC